GAGCAAAAAAAGCACCCTGCCAATTGACCTTCAAGGTCTTGTTTCCAACTGGAGCCTTGCATCATTCGGGTTACACGCCCTCACCGAACCAGCGGACGTCACATGCCTGCACATCGACCGCTTTGACTCCAAGGGACGGAAGAGTCACACTCGATTGACATGGGATTCTAAGGTGTGGCTGCCATACTTCCTGAACACAAAGCTGGAGGTCGACCACATACCGTTCATCGTCATTGGCGTCTCTTTCCACTTGGGGTCCGAGGTCTCTTCGGGGCACTACAACACGGCCATTAAGGACGGTGACTCATGGTGGGTCTACGACGACGACAACATGCCGGTGAAGTTCTCTATGCTCCCACTGGTGGCTCAGGAGAACTGCTGCCTACTTTGGCTGAACTGCACACCACATGGAGGTGCAGAGGAGGTCCCTGCCCTCTTGGACGAATCGCCCATCCTGACGGACCAGGAAAAGATCCAGAACATCATCCATGACCCGACCATCAATGACGAATGGCACAGCAAATGGCTGCCAGGACTGGATTTGATGGACACGGATCTGCTGGTGGACCATCCTCGCCTTTGTCACCGACTGGTGAAGAAGTGCATCACGTGTGGAAGCTGGCCTCGCGACCTGAACTCACACATGCAGGTGGCCCATCGCTCATTGTGGGAAGACAGCAGCTCTCTGGCAGAACAAGGAGCAGTGAACTTCCTTTCCAAAGCACACCCCACAAGATGGTGCGCTTGCCAACCGTTTCACAGCATTGGCATGAATGAAGACCATTGCTGTCCATGCCTGCGGCAGTTCGCAATGCTGCACCTGGCATTGAGATCCCATCAAAGGGCAGAAGCAAAAGCTTCGACGTTGGCCCGGCTCCTCGACCAGAACTTCAGTTGAGGAAGGCCCTTCGGGGCGCAGGTGGGACCAAAAGGGTCCACGCATTCATCGACCGATGAGCGTATGAAAGAAAGAAGATGATGATGATGATGATGATGATGATGATGACCAAGAAGACGATGATAGTTGGACAGTTGAAGTTGGCAGCCGTTCTTTAGAGAGAACCCGGAATCGCACGTGCCGAACCGGTGAAAACACCAGAAACAAACCAAAGGACCCAGGTGTGCTGCGAGCTCCCTCGTCTTCAACCAGAGAACAGGGGACAGGACAGGACAGCACCCGGACAACCACCAACAGAGGTAGCCAGTGACCTGAACTAGGACCCGTCACCTGGAGTACCTATGGGATAGCCTAGTTCGGGTCTTTCAACCTCTTTTCAACTTGGGACCTGTGCGCACCCAAGATCAACCTAATCACACACAACACCTCTGGGCTCCAACCACTCTCACAGACTCTCTTGCCTTGTGGTAGCTCAAGAGCAGACGATGGGCTTTACGTTCAAAGGCTTCTGTGTCCTTCCATGCGCTGTTGATGGCATACTCCCCTTCCAGATTCCAGAATTTGCCTGCTGCAAGTCATGGTCACAAACCTCAATGAGAACCCTATTTGTTGAATGGGCCCAATAATATACACTTGACTTGACTTCTTACTACATGTCTTGTACCTGGAGCAGCCGTAAAACTTTGCCAAAAAGCAACCATGTGCACGTTGGCCTTCAAAATTGGCTCCAAATCCTTCCCGTCGCATCTTGTCCACATATTCTTTGACCTTCCTGGCCACTGGTTGGAGCTCTTCGGCAGCTTCTTCAAACTTTTCTCTGCCATCTCTCACCATGTACTTGATCGGCGGTAGGTGATACACTCGACAAAAGATTCCTGCGGCAGTTCATTTTTCCATGAGCCATTCAGAAAGTCACACTCCAGGAGTTACAAAGGGGTGGTTTTTATATAGTCCCTAAGTGAGTGGATAACGGGGACCCTATCCTCCAATAGGCACCCCTTTGTGACTCCCTGGCTTGTCATGTTTCGTACCGACAAGTTTCGGCATTGGGTTCAGACAGGCAGCGGACCTCAAATCAATCGTGTCTGCACGAGGTCCAAGTATCTTCGGGTGTTGGAATTTGCAAGGGCAAGGCGATCACCGCTAGCACAAGGCCCGGCCTTTTTTTGGGGTTACTTTACTGCTGCTTCCAATGGAATCAGCATGAAACAGCCCCCACCAATCAAAGTACCGCCATGAGAAACAAAGCCTATCGACCTCTCCGCGGGTGACCGAATCCAATGAAGGCCATGACCGAATGGCCGCCTGTCTCGACACACGGAAACATGACGAGTTGAAGCGGCATCCTAAGCGGCATCCTTGAAAGTTGCCATCAAAGTCATAAAGGTTGTCATACTTGTCGATGCAGGAGGCCACACCTAAGAGGTCATTGGCTTGACCCTCAAAGGTCTCCACGCCAAACTTCTCGATGTAGATTTCGGGTTGACTCCCGTATGCATAGTCAAAGGAGCCTGCAACAAGACTGCACCAGTGTGAGAATGGTGTTCACTTGTTGCTGTCCAACTCCACCCTTTCAAATCCGAGATGCAATTGGTGAGCCATGATGAACCCTATCATTAGAAAATCTCATTTGGTGATCCACGGCCACAAACTGCTCCAAAGCTACAATTTAAACATTCAGTGCTGCGACGCCCCAAAGGGCCTTCAAAATCATTATGGTTCTGGTTCATATTCTTGAACTTGTTTGCATACTCCTCGATCTTGCCCGCACCGCGCTTAATAGCAGGCATTGAAGCTGCCAGTTCCAGTTCGCTTCTTCTCCGCCATGCGCAAGCGAAGAGGGAAAAGGTGCCAACGCAGCAACAAATCAGCATTGGACAAAGAATGCCGTATATCACATAGTATGCATAGTCCTTGGGGATCCTCAGTAGCAAAAGACCAGTGTATACAGTGCATGTACAAAGGGATCGAGAAGGGCCATAACACGTTGGGATGCCGTGCGATCCTGCAGGATCGTCACTTTTTTAAAAACGCCACGAACGTCACTGAACGTCACTGAATCGTCGCCACATTCGGTGTGACACAATCGTTTTGCACATGGACATAGCCGGACCTTTGGCACAATTATTTAAAACCATAAAACCATAGACATGTCTGTGGGACAGTGAGCAAGCCCATGACTATAGACTACAGTGTGTAGACTCTTGATTTTTGAAACCCCTCGTTTTGCTTTTGGCTTTCTCTCTTCACTTCTGCCGGCTGTGGCGCGGAAGGCAAGGGCGGTGGATAGAAATGATAGAAAAGGTTTTACCTTTACAATCCCAAATGGGGTAATAATTTCTCAAGTCTACGCGATGTGCACGCAGTTTCGAGTAGCAGTTCTTTCTGCGAGGATCGCCAGGTACGGCCCATCGTCAATGCCCATGTCGTGCTCGGGGTCGCAGAGAAACAGCTGACGCACCAGTGCTAAAAGTCCGAGAATGGGACAACCAAGGCATGTCCATGTTGCAAATATGTTGCAAGCTTTCCCGCCATTTGTGTGCGCACAAAGGCAGAAACAGCAGGTCAGAAGGCAACAAAGAACCCAGAGCAACCAATGAATTGGGCATCTCATCAGGCCAAATCCAGCAAAAACAAGGCCACAGCCTAATGTAAAGAGAAGACTTTTGAAAAGCCACTTCGCGGCACGTGCCGGTACCCAGCGGCCACGCCTCACTTCGATCCAGAGCCCGTCGAAGGGTGCGGCACCCTCTGGAATGGAAATCATGATGCTTTCCCCATTGGGAAAAGTGGCTTGAAGCCGGTCCCCTGCCTTAAAACCTTCGGGCACTGTGGGTTGCGCGATCTCCACTGTGGGTTGTCGCTGCATCATCTTGACCCATCTTCGCGTGGGCTTGATCCAACTTGGCTTCGAAGTGGAGCTGAGAAAAAACACACCGAGGGCCAGGTTCCAACAGCTCTGTCGGTGTCTTCCAGCCTGAGGCCCCCGGTTATCTACAAGCCCAAACGCTCCATGGGACTGGCAATATATGCTGATCAGTTGGGGTGGTGCCAGGGGGGGTCAATGGGGCGGCATATACCAGTCCCATGGAGTGTCTGGGAATTCTAAACATATGTTTGAATCTCGCCAAAATGGTTGAAATTGTGTCGCCTGTCCCATAGCCAAAGGACCACATAACCCCCCCAAAAAAAGGAACAGAGTTTGGGATGATACTGCCCCTTGTCGTGATATCGCGTCCGCTCCTTTTCTGCGCGTGCTGACAAAGCTTCGGTCAATCTGACCAAACAATGCAAGAATGATTGTAACCTGAAAAACCGCGGCTTCATTTATGCCCATAGATGTCCAAATGATGGAAACCGAGTGGCTCGAAGTGACGAAATGTGCTTTTCTTGGTCGAAGTGCTGGCTGTGCTACTGGAACGAAGCAGTGGAAGGAAGCACTTCAGCAGCAAAGAAGGGCTGCCGACAACGGCATCAAAACAGCTGCCGAACCGTCCAGCTATAAATTGTATATAGCTCAAAAACCCCGACCGATAGTGACCTTCTGGCCTCGTCATCCGTGTAGCAGTCTACATACATTTTTCATGTGTGAATCCGGTCCTGAAGACATCGCCTCGCAACTCGCCACTCGCTGTGCCGAAAACCATTTTTCCCTGCCCTCGCGGCTGCATCAGCGGCCGGCTGCGTTAGCCGACGCTGCAAATGAAGTTGGATTAAACTGATCGCCATAAATCCTCCGTGCTTTGCCAGTGGAATCATTTGCCGAGCATTTTGTAGAGACATGGTGACATGGTCTCTAAAAAGGATAACATCTCTATGAAATGACTGACAAAGGTGTCAAATGATAGTCCATTTTGTAGAGGGCCAAGCACGGAGGATATCGCCAAGGATCCAGCAAAGAAGTGACTTGCAAATGTGGTTGGTTGAATCATGCGGAAAATTACTGTAAATATTCTGCAAGTCTCTGGGTGACAGTATTCACAAAGCCACGGAAAATGGTCACATGCCCTAGTCTTAAACAAGGTTCAGCGGTTTTGAAGCTTGCTTGATCCAGAACCCATCGTAATTGCAGAAACCGATGCTGTCCCCCATGACCAAAATCTTTGCTTCACTTCTTGGCTTTCTTCGCCATTAACATCATTCCGAGAAAAAATGCCTGCTCAACTAGTCAGGGACTTCTTCCTCAGTGGGGCAGATTGAGGGTCAGGAAGTTCCTAAAACTGATCCTGCTGTCATACACGGCTTGTTCATCCCTCACAGCGTCGGAGTACAGTATTTCATGGTATTTCTAAAAACATCCAACAATGGAAACGAGAAAAATCCCCCAGCAGCTGCCATTGACCGCACCTGTGATGATAGAAATGAATAGTTCTATAATGTTGCATACAGGGAAACATTATGAAATGTTAGGATGTGTGATGTTCTCTGGGTTTAGTCCTGGAGATTCTTCCTTGCCTGTCCTCAGATCCCCTCCCAACAGCCTAATCTGCCAGTGAAAATCTGAGCAAAAAGAACGAGTCAGCACGAGTCAGCACAAGGCATCCCCAAATTTCAACTGACCCCCACCCACCTCGCGTCGTGTCACCCCGTCGCGTTCCAAGGCTCTTTGGACTGTCGCCCCGAGGGGCGCATGACGTTAACATGGCCTCCACAGCACTCAGCTGTGCCAAGGCTTCCTGGAGCTGGTCAGAGGGCCGAAAGGGTTGACCGTTTGGTCAAACCGGGGGCAAGCGAGCTCCGGCGCTTTGGGAGATCGATGTGTGTTGGATCTTTTGGGCTCATATCTATCTCAAGCCCTATAGTCTAATATAGTGGTTCTTCTTCTGTATCCTTCCTATGACTGATCAATACACACAAAGGGGGGGGGGTCACAGCCACACCCTGGCGGCCCACACGGCTAAGAAAACGCCCCCCCGTGCAGGGCCGTCCTCGAAGGTGTTGTCGATGGCCAACGAGACCTTGCTGTGCCCTGCATAGAGCATCTCATCCAGTCGCTCTCCTTGGGCAGTTCGGAAAACGGCCCGCCCAAAGCACCGAACCGTGGAACGAAAGGTCTGTTCCGATATGTCGAGGGAGTGACGACATATCGACCTCACATCATGGACTTGGGAATATGGATGGACTTCTTAGCCACATCCCAGCAGGCCAGCGGTACATGTCTTCCTCTGTTTTTAGATCGTTGTGAAGACCCTCCGAACTCACGTCGCTGCTTTCCCGGAAGCTCCACTCCTGGATTCCGCAGCAGGGCCAGCTCCCGTCGCAACTCTTCCACTTCGTCCTCTTTCGCTCTTAGAACCTGCTCCTGCGCTGGTCGCCGCAGCCGCGTGACCATGCGCGCGATGTCAGCGCTGGTCAGTCGAAGGTCAGACTGCACGGTGGAGGCGTCAAACCAATCAAAAGCTGTGGTACCACAGGTGTCCCACATGAATACCACATGCGATAAACCTCTACTTTAGATTCGAAGTTAGATGTGAAAACCAGTGTGCCACTGGAGCATCCATGAAGCATTAGCATTAGCCTTTGCCGTATGGTCATTGTCCTTCAGCTGCAATGTTCGCTTCACCTGTTCCAACTCCTGTCAGAGTGCTTCGCACATGTCACATGTCGAAAGTGATGTCACATGGCACGTTATGTCTCCCTTGCTGTTGGTGGACCCCACTCTAGATTCAGGTCTATGGCCAGCTTACACCAACAAGGGCAACCCGCTTTGCAAACTGCAAGAAAAGCACACAAGCCCAGGAACAACACCCACTATAGAGATCTATAGAGAACACAAACGCAACGTGGACAATATCGATTGAGCATCAAACCAAAACATCACCATTTTGGGTCAGCAAAGGAAACATGGGGTCAATTGAGCCATGAATCCCAGTATTGCACTTTCTAAGAGTTTCAGTCGTATTGCATGAGAATGAATGGTTTTCAGTATACATATGGTTTGAATCCCAATACCACTTTCTAAGAGTTTCTATGCAGCCTATCCAAGATGTAGAATGAGGCATAACCTTCCAATCATCTTCAGATCCAGCCTTCTGCATCTCCTGCATTTGCTCGAAATGTTGAGCATCTTCCAAGCCTGCTGGGCTTGACTCCAACAACGAAGCACCACAAATTCGATGGGCTTTTCGATGCTTTTTTTCGGCTGCCTGCCTTCAGGCAGGTTGAAAAACGGGTGTAAAAACATAGAAAAACCCAGACCCAGTGCACCTGGCAGGACCATGCAGGGTGAGTAGAGGCTCTGCCGAATCCGCTTCTCTGTTGCTGACCTGTCATTCACAGTCACGACAAGAGATTGGATCCCAATCTAAAACGAGCCAGCATCGCATGGAAACCTGCCTAACTGTATGGATGTTATAAACATGCATGCATACACACTCCTCGGAATGATTGTGGAAATGGGAAATTGCCCATGGAAAGCTGGAAAAACGATACTCCTCTACAAATGGGTGGTTTTCCACTTCCATGATGACTCCAGGTGTATACTCCAACATAAATTATACAAATATGGGCCAGGCCACGCGTCTTCAACGTGGCCTTTTTGATTCCATGGCCGTGGACATCCGTGCTTTGCTACGACCGCGACAGGCAGAGCACCGACCGAAACAGCCCCGGTCGTGCGTCCGTGGTCCGCCTCTTCTCGCGCATCTCCTCCATCCTTAGCAGCTAATCAGCCGATCCTTGTGTCAAGCGAATAGGTCTCCCGTCGATCTATCTGTTACAATTGTTGACGCTTGATGAAAGAAAACCTCCCTCTACCTGGATGGTTCTTCATCAAACCTACAGGGCTTATTCTGAAGCAACGGTCAATCTTGGGTATCCTATTCCAGACACTCCATGTATGCCATATATGCCTATACACATTGACCCCCCCAAACCACCCCAATGTAGGCATATTTATATTGCCATACATGGAGTGTCTGGGATCCAGATACTTCCGCAGGATGCGTATCGTCCTAGGCCTCCTGTTCCGTCGCCGGCGTGGCCAAGTTGCTGCGCCGTGGTGAAATCAGCTTCTCCTGAAGCAATGAGCACCTGGCCGGGTGGGAGGAAGCGAGTCTGTGAAGAAGCAAGAGGCGATGTGCACCGAGAATGGATCGTTGATGGTAGTTGACATCTGGCCAAATCAAATCAATCAATCACAAAAAGGCCAAGGACCTGTTCCCTTCACAATAAACGCCCACGCCCCACCTCTGCACTGCAAATGTTGGGTTGCACGAAGACAAAGTAGCAGGGGCCTGGGCTCTTGGACCTTTCTTCAGGCCGCCCGTTTCCACCGCATCGCCGAGTCGGACATCAAAAATTCGAGTGGCTTCAACGGAATCAAACGAAGAATATGATGTCATATGATGTCATATGAGTCTGCGGCTGACCAATCATCCCAAGTGAAGGTTGAACATCAGAAATCAGACTCTGACGAACACATCACATGGAAGTGGATGGAGGGCTGTCCTCTACAAAGAGGGGGATGACCTCCACTTCCATGTGATGTCTTCGTCAAAGTGTATCTCAACACCTGACAACAACTGGGCTGTATACATCTAGAGGAAAAGTAGTCATAGTCTTAAGTCCATGCCAAGCCCTCTCATTTCCACCGGCCGTATCTCAAACAAAGTTCAACACTTATCCAGCCGATGACACTGCAGAAGACTGAGAAGACCAGGCTTCTTCTGTATGACACTCCGGTTCTCGCACTCCTGCGGTCCAGGTGCCAAAGATCAACCGGTCAGCGTGCACCAGCACGAAGCCGTCATCCACCCGAGTGCGGGGGCACTTCTTCGCATCCTGCGCTACGCGGGCCACACGGGCCCGGCGGAGAAAAACAGAACGCAAAAAGAACGAGGTGACGAGCCAAAAGGAATGGAACCGAAACACTCCATGGGACTGCCATATATGCCGATCCGTTCAAATGGTTGACTGGGGGTGAATGTATGTGAATATGCCATGCATGGAGTGTCTGGGGAATGTGAATCCACACGGCGAAGTCAATCCATCCACCAAGACGCCCGCCAAAGCCGTGAATTCGGCCGGTCTTTAGCCCGCCCACACTTCTGCCGAACTCGGCTTCGGCCGAACTCGGCTTCGGCCCGGTCCATCTCCAACATCCGATCCAGTGTCATCCCGTTGAGGCAGGTCGCCTGAGGTCGGGACGTCGATGTCACCGGTGGACGAACGACCAATTCGATCGAAAGGACAACTCACCGTGAGCGAGTTCAGCCTCCAAGAGCGAAGGACCGGAACCGGGGGAAGGCTTAAGCGGCAACAGGACGTTCACCGTTCACCCCCCTTTTCAATGTCTGGACCCCGTGTGGACTGAGTCTGCTACATGAATCTATATGTGATCATCCTCCATCTATACCCATCCATCCATCTCCTTTTCTCCATACCAAGGCGTGCCAGTCCACATAGGTCCACTCCCCTCTCCACCACGTCTTTAGTCCCACCACCACCTCCGCTCCACCGCTCCACACCACACCCGCCACTCCGCAGCTCCGCCGCCTGGGCCGCTTCGCCGTTGAGCGCGCGGAGGATGCAGCGCCCGTCGGAGGCGTTCTCCACCGAGGCGTGGAGCCTGGAGTCGTCGGTGGTCTTCACGACCCAACGCGGCGCGGGGCGTGGGCATGGGGTCGATAGACCATGCGGCAGGATGCGGTTCGAAGGCGAGCAATGGGGGGAGTTCGAAGGGGTTCGAGGGCGAGGGAGTCGGGGGAAGAGAAGGAACCAAAGATACCTACAAAATCCTACAAATGGGCGAATGGGAAGGAGGGAAGAGGTGGGGTGTGCGTTCTTCTTTGGGTTTGGGGGAGATGGGATTGGGAGATGGTTTCGAAATGCTTTGGATAATATATGAGTATGTTGAAGGGAGGAAGAATGGAGGAAGGCAGGAATGAAACAAATTGTTGGAGCTTCGACAGGACTCCAATAATGGGACGAAGGTAGGGATGGGATGCTGACAAAGGTCAGAAGTGGTGGCATTTGATTCAGCAGCTCCAGGAGGATGTCAAAACACATGAACATTGGAGTCCTTCGAGTGCATTTCAATAGGGAGACCTCCAACATCCCCCAACCAATGGTCTCCTTGTTTTGCTACCAACCCAGATTTTCATCCAAGCCCACCAGCCCGCCAGCCCCCACCAGTCCTCTGCATCCCACGTCCCAGCATGTTGATGTCCGGCACAGGCAGATCATCGGACTCCTCCACAGTTGCGACCGACAAGTGACTCGCCGTGGCAGATCCCGGATCGACTGACCCGGAGGCCAAGGACCGGGAGACTGACCCGGAGGCCACGGGGTCACGTCCGAATCGTCCGAAGTCAAAGAAGGAAAAGCTCCGCCATCGACCCTCCACCGCCCAAGAGGTCCAAAACTGATGAAGATCGGCCGGTCTCCTCGTCGCTGTCCCTGTCCAGATCGCTGGCCTGTCCGCAGGAGGCGTCGGCTCCGCCCGCGCTGCCACTGCTAGATTTTCACGGTGGGTCTTCTCAAAGTGAAGAATCAGAAGACCCGGAACGGTACGCTTTTGAGAAGAACTTATGGTAACTATGGCTGTTGGATGCTGTTGGTGTAGTTTCAATCGGTATGCCTCTTGATGCCTCTTGGTGTTTGGAACTACTGGCTGCCTCGTCCAGATGGGACTGGTATGGACTGCTCAATGCTCGGCCCACACGGCGACGTTCCGGCCGCACTCGACTGGCGTGCTACGCACGGTGAAGGGCGTCCAAGCAAGCGCTTCAAGAAACGTCAAGGGCTTCCGGCCGCCATTGGATTTCATGGGGCTTTGCCAAACCAACATCCAACAACTCTTAGTTTCGCTATGCTTTACTCAGGATCCTAGATGATTTTAGACTACCAGCACAATCCAGCACATACCAGCATCACACCAGGTCAACCATGTTGAAAACGGTTTTGGAAGCCGACTCAGAAAAAGCTTGCTCTGGCCCTGTCCCAGATGCCTCCGACTCCGACTCGGATTCATCCTGCTTGTTGCACCCAATCAGCGTCTTTCCCGCAGGGAAGTAGTGCTTGACCTACAGCAGCAAGAATGTTCATTCGCTGGTCCTCTGGCAAATGCCATTCAATTTGCATGCCCGAAAACTCCCATTCCGTTCCAATCGTTTTTCAATGCCACGGCCACTCTTCAACCACTCAAAACTCACCAGCTCGCCAAAACACCCGTTTTGGAGCCGAGAGTCACGTCCCTGCAACTGTGGATCTTGGTTCAAGTTCACAATCATTGGAACCATGGGATTCACCACCGTGCCTCGCGCATTCGGAGCCATCCGCACCCGTGGGACGGGACGGGGTCATCATCGCGTCTTCCACGTTGCGGGCTTTCGGCGAGATCGGCGTGCGCGGTTACGGTGCGAAATCGCCGTCCTGAACGCTGAAACCGGGCCGCTTCGTTCGCCCGGCTGAGTTCCAAGAATTCGTTCCAATGGCGGGATTGGTCGGAAAATGAACAGCACGGACTAACTAAGGTCAACCAGACTACCTTGGGATGTGCACAGGATGGTGCTTCCGGGCGGTTTTGCTCCAACGGGCACGCCACCGAAAGCAGTCCTCGTCTCCGCAGTTCACCCTGTCTCTGCCGGTCCTGGTGTTGTTCTGCGCCGAGACAGGGCGACCGAGACGAATCCTTTCGGCTGACTGGAGAGTAAATGGCATAGACCTTGAGAAGTAAGAAGCCCTTAATAGCTTGCAGCTATCTGAGGAAGAAACAAGAAACATGAAATTAAATTGATGCGTCAGTGATTGATTTCCGTCGTAACCGTTGTGGCCCAATCATCGCCACGGGTCACCTCTAGTCTAAAGCTCGCGAGCGGCTCGCGAGCGGCTCGCGAGCTAAGCCGGTCGAGTCTCGTGTGGGGCGAGTCTTGCGTCCCCGAAAAGCATTGGATCCATCATGATCCATGTCTCATGCACTTACCCCTGGGAGACTACAAAAAGATACAAAAGTCTTTATAGGGTGCTGAAAGGGACCGTCCTTTACTTCACGAACTGGACAAGTATAGTCGAACTGGACTTCTAAACTGGATGCCACACCTGGCGAGGTTCCGACGTTTCCGGGGAACCTGCTCGCTTGGCATGGTGTCCTTCGATGGCCCGACGGCCGGTCCGGACGGCGCGGCGGCGCGGCGCGGGCACCTCTTCCAGCTTTTCTTGGAAGGTCTTCTGCATGTCCTGCGGGTCCAGGAATGTCCAGGTGAGACGCACGAAAAGGCCAAGCATCTGGAACATGTGGAACGCTGGCAGCAGCAGCAGCAGCAGCAGCAGCAGCGGATAGCAGCGGCGTGATGACCAATCACAAATCACAATCCATCATCTTCATCGTCACCAAAAAGCGACAGCTAGTTCCAGATCCATCAGACCGAAGAGGGTAGCCTCCCAAGTGGGACAGCGCCCCTGCGGGCCTTGTCCTAATGGGCCATATACCCCAACATACCCCAACCAACCCCAAACTCAATTTGTTGAAAAATTGTTTAGACCATCCTGTACCGCCCATGTACCGCATGTACCACAGATCATAGACCGCATGCACCATGTTTCGCATAATAGACCGCCCATGTACCACAACAGCACCCATCCTTTGATGCCGATAGACCCTTTCGGCCAGCGCGCCACGCCGCGCGCCTTGAGGGCGGCTTCAGCCTCTGCGATCTCTCGCTGCCTGTGCGATAGCATAAATGTGGCAAGCCGGGAACCCAAACAGGTCAACAACAAATAGAGCAAAAAGGATCAAATGGATCTTCCAGGGAAAACACCAAAACATATCAAACCATACGTCTTCTTCATGAGATTCATGATGACTCTCCATGATGACTCCAGAGCATGGTTCCACACCATATCCATGCTTCGTCGGAACACGCCACGACGTCCGTCCGAAAACTCCGGCGCGTTGCCGGGTCTGGGCTGCCCGGGCTTGCGGCCCAGATCTTCAAAGGTACGAGCATCCACGCGCCCCGCACCGAGCGATTGAATCATCTCTTTCAGTTTCTGGTTCTCATCCTCGGCAGAGCTGAGAGCTTCGATGATTGGGTAGGCTGTTGGTCGACCTTGCTGGGATGCATCGGTCTGTTGGATGTCTGCGAAGTTGTCCGGTCTCTCTCACATCTGTTCTTTCGTCACAGCTGTCACGAACCTTCCATCTTCCATGCCGCGTGAGTTCCTGGTTCCACGTGCCGCCTTTGCTTCACGACGAGGGGCCAAGAGCTCCCGCATGAGCTTCTCCTGGGCAGTTGGATGGAGCACACGGATGGGCAGTACGGGAAGGAATGGGTATGTCAAAATGGTGTGCTGTTTTTCCGTACCACCATGCAATTGGTTTGCGCCGGTGACGGTTGACGAACCGTTCATTGGATGCAAAAGATTGCCAAAACGGCATCTATTTTGCATTGGAAGAAGATCTGGGTTTATCTAGGAACCACTCTTCTCGACCAAAGCTCAGGGTTCACCTCGCTGAGCTCTGGTCGAAGCATCGACCACCCCGTCAGCCCAATCCTGAGGGTTCTCGTTGACCACCGCCTTGTTTTTGATCCTCGGCGAGGTCCCGTCTGGTACGGAGAACACGCCGTCGAGCTCAAAGGCTTAAGGGGGTTCACATGCACAGGATCCACATGAATTCATGCATGAATTCCTTCTTCGGCGATGTTCGATCTATCTACCTGGACCTTCAAGGGGTGTCCAATGGAGGTCCCTTAGTGGTGTAGGGGCTTCCATTGGTGACCCCTTTGAAGGTGCTGGTATGATTCTTCACATTGAGTCTATTGAAACAATCATGCACTGCCAGTGCAGGGCCGCCAAGGACCGCCTGGCGGACCGGCCCCACCGTGCTTTACGCCGACCCACCCGCTTCGTCACGGCACTTCTTCGCTCGGTCGGCGTAGCGCAGGGTGGACAAGGTCTCTTCGTAGTTCGAGGAAGCGGGTGACAAAGCACAAATCATGATGGTCTTACTCGAACCGCCTGGAGGGCGACGCCCGCGCGGCTGTCTGACTGGCGCCGCGCGTAGTTCTTCTGGCCGGCAGGCCTGGTCTTTTCAACAAGCCTGAATCTGAAATGGGTCCCCAAAGCCTCCTGGAGTGCGACCAAAAGAAAAGGCCCGGGCCCAGGTCAGTGTCATAGTCCTTCAATCCTCATGATTCATGATGAAAAAGGTCAAAGTGTCCTGTTCTCTCGGTATTTCGTACCCGATCGGGTACGGAAAACCCAACCGCGACGTCCTCGGCACGGGGAGAGGAGGAAAACGGCCACCCGCGACCGACGATGCGCACGTCCGCACGGGAGTCGCCTCGCCTAGTGCATTCTGCAGCAGTCGGGTGAGCTTGGACTCACGATATGGAACAAGGACCGCCTGCCCGAAAACGCGATCTATCGCGATCTGCCCGCTCTGCAGCTCAAACAGAACCCGAAAGAAGGTGAAAGAGGTGGGCCACAATAGCAAAACAATAGCTGAACAATACAACTATAACTTTAAACAAATATGTTATAATCCTGTATGGTCAATGAATGATAAACACTGATAAACACTGCTGCAGTTATAACAGCTTAAAAGAAGGTGGAGGTGACTCTCCCCACTGTCCCTTTAGTCCCCGTGACTGTCGCATTGGACAATGCCCATCCGCAAACCGGTGCTGATTTGGGGCCCACCGGCGGCCGCAGCCCAGTTCCAGCGCTGTTCAGCGGCGCCTTCTTTGGATTCGTGGACTTCTCCGCCAGCTTTTCGATACAATTGCCCAAGGTGCTCCTCGGCTTCAAACGAGCGCTCTCGCCACCGCGCTTTAGAAGGAAGGAAGACCAACCTGAGGGGTGCACCAGCTACACCGGTGGTCTGGGGAGTGTACAAAACCTGTTCTCTAGGTCTTTAGGAATTGCCATCTGTACCAAGAATCTTTTTGGACTTTGCCCACTGAGCACTTGCCCACTAGCTATCCAATATGTGCCCCGGCAACATGTCTGTGGCGTCGGAATTGCAACAATTACATATCAAAGCATGTACACTACCCGAAATAATCATGGAAGTGGAAAACCACCACCTGTTTGGTCTTCGGAGAACTCATGGACATCCGTCATCGGGGCTATGCGGCTATGCCATCCACTTCCATTTCAGGAAGTCTATATCCCAGACGCTCCATGTATGCCATATTTGCCTACATTGGGGTGGTTTGGGGGGGCCATATGGCATACATGGAGCATCTGGGTATGTTACAATCTTGCAAGTGACAGGCGCCAGCCACCAATCCTGAAACCAATCCCAGTCGCAAGGACTTGTTGATCATGGCACCTTCCTTCATGCGTTCTCCCTCCGCCCCTGTCTGCTTCACCTGACATACGACATCAATCCAATAAAATCACATTGTTATACTTCCCAGCCGTCGACGATGAAGTCAGCCCATGATTGGAAACATGGTGAAAATGCTACAGTGGAGGCATCTTCCGGCTCTTCTTTCAAAACCTTCTCAGCATTCCTTCAACTGAGAGGAAACATGAATACCGTGGTTTCAGAGTATATATATAGATGGCACCATCTTATAGATGGTTTCAGAGTACCAAAACGGTGGACCATCTTTTTAGAATCTCTTGGAGTGCCAGTGCCATCTACTTCCTGGACCCTGGACTGTCAATCTTCGGGCCATCTACTCTGCTTGATCCTCGTCTCAAGGACGAACAGCACGAAGACGAACACGAAGACTCACAGCTCTCGCCTTCTCGCTGCCCGCGAGATCCACCAAGTTGATCATGGAGACTCGAGTCGAGCCTGAGATCCGGGCAGATCAGTCGTCCGGTCACGACTGAGATCATTCGTCCGTTCCAGTGGCTGAGTGAGAAACGTATTGGTCTCGCATTCAACATGAGACCCAGCATTCATAAGAAATGCGCGTCGAAAAACACACATGCATGTGGATGTCACCCCTGCACATTCTTGGATGGACTGCATGCAAAAAGGGGGCCAGCAAAAGCACCAAAAAAAAAACACACACGCATGACTCCTTGCTGGCTGCTCCAGACTCTCAGGTCTCTGCATGATGTCACAGTCTTGAATTCGATGATCAGGACGGTGTGCGCCCTACTGGATGTAGCATTCCTTGGTGAAAACCGCGGACACTCGGAAAGCATCCAGTTCAAGCGCACGACAGTTCTCACAGCGGAAAAATTGTGATTCTAGTGAAACCGCTCATTGCTCGCATTGGTCCTGCCAAAAGTGTTTTTCTCCGCAGAGTTGTGCTGCGGCCATGACACACATCATTAAACACATCGTGAAGTGTCACCAGACTGTCACCATATATTATATATGACATTACCACGTAATACAAGCATAGATTACTGCGGCATTACAGCCTGTCTGTCTTGGAGCAGTTGTGGGAGCTTGGAGCCGCATCTCCAATAGTCTGAACTACCTTGCGGTTTCACACAACACACACCCACACACGCCATTGGGAAGTTGTTCACCCTGTTGTTCCTGTTGTTGACCCTGTCTGTGTCGTCTGCCTGCTTGGTCACCACCCCCTGGGCGACTTCACCCTGATTTGCATATGGTTTATTCCATTGATCCATTCACCACCAAGAGACATCAATGTGGAACCCACCGTCCGATGTGTTGTTGCTTCCTGCAAATTTGACGCGTCTAGAGGCATGGAAGGATCTTGGTCTGGGAGGATTGGTTTTGCAGATTCATCTTCGTAAACGTTTGAGATCAAGAACTTGCACACATCACACTGTAGCATGCCACTAGGAGGGCCTAGGAATTCATGGTTGTCTCCAAAAGCTTTTGAAACAGCTAAGAAACTGGCTCAAACTCCCAGCTTGGGTCGCTCTTGCGTCGCCCAACCCCAGAAACACCAGAAACCCGACCGGTGGCCGTTCCTCGAGAACCCAACCCGACCGGTGCTCCGCTCGGATCCGCGCGAAACGCCGCGCGGTCCGTCCTCAATGGTGTCGTGAATCGCCTTGTAGGACTCCACCGGCCTGGCCCCACGAGTCGAGCGGAGTCGAGAACGGGTCCCACAAAAAGAGAACAGGCGAAGTTGGGGGGAAAAAGGTGGAGCCAAAAGTGAGGGGGTAAAGGATGCAAAGTAATTTTCCATCCTATGATTTGGATGATTTTGGATGATTTGGGATTGATTTGATATGTGTTTAAACTATTTTTACGTATACTGGCATTATTGAATTGTGTGGCATCTCTTGACATTTCTCGTTGCTGTCTCGGCATCGTTCAGCAGGAACAAGATCCTACTCCATTCAGTCCATGAACAGCTCGTGTCGCGTCGATCGAGGCCTCTTCGTAATGCCATCGATGTAAACACCTGCAAGGGTCATTGCTTCAGACGACCCCTTTGGGGGGCTGGGCATTCAGAGGCTTTGCCCTACAGGGTGAATCACATGTTTACACAAAAGCTCGAGGCATCTGTGGAGGAAGGGTTTGAATACGCCAGAGACCGCTTCAGACTGCCCTTGCCCAAGTGAATTCCATGCAAACTCATGACGAATTCTGGCTGGCTGCGGACACCGCCACTCCAATGCACAATGTACAAGAGAGAAATTATCAGTGAAATGGGAAGTTCCATAACTCATTCTCCAAGTGAACAGTAATGCTTTCCATAACTCAGACCATGTCTTGCAAGACGTTAACAGTCATAGGATTCTCAGTTCTCCAATGACAACCCTGTCTTGCTAGACTTGTTCCTCACATGGCTTGCCCTGCCTCAGCTCAACACCGGACGTTGGACTACTTGTTTTCCCCCCGAACGCTCCAGCTAAGCGTTCGGTCCATGTGGTGGGTCATGACCGTTCAGTCCACGCCTAGAATCTTGGACTCGCGGATCTCGAAGCCCTTCCGGGGGCGCTGCTCCACTGGAATCAGCAGGTCCTCGGTTCTCACGGCCGGCCGTCCGCCTAGCGGGTCCGAGCACGGACCCGCTAGGAAGTGGGACAAACGACCGAGGCAAACGGAAGGACCGGGTCTCGAATCTGACTTTGGAGCAGACTTGGTTGGATGTGTTGGATGTGTTGGGGTGTTTTCCCTTGGTGCAATGAGCAATTGGCCCCAAGGAGCACAAAGCCTTGAAGTGTTCGCGAGATGTGTGGTTGACTCAACAGCGGCCTGGAGAACATGGCTTGAGCCCCAAGCTCATAGCTACCCACAAACAGGGGTTGAAGGACAATTGTCCCTTTCCAGGTGGTTGCTATATGAGTTTGGGGGCGACAGCGGCGGTAACCTTCAAAGCTCATCTGTGATGAGAAGTAAGTTATGCCCCCCTCACCGCATACGCTCCCCTCGCAGCGTGTCCTGTACGGCTTCATTGTAGATCTCAATGGCAGACACCAGCACCTTCCAGCAAGTTTTGGCGCGGCCGATTCCCAAAACATTCACCTCGAACCCCCACATAACAAACACTGGCTAGTAACGGCTAGTAGCAAAAGATCGTCTCCATGTTCAAGGGAGTTAGTGGAGGGAGGGTTGCTGAAATCTCCTTCACCTGTCCCACTGAGCTCTCTCTTCAAGCCTCATAACTGTTCCCACTATCGTCGTTGGCAATCCTCCGGAAGATCTCTTCACAGGAGATGGGAACGATGCCCTTGTTGTTGCCGTAGCCAACCATCGAGTAGCTCTTGCCAGAACCTGCATGCTGCTTGTTCTGCCGCTGCCATGCAAGCTGCCACTGGTTTGGGCATGGTTCGTGGAATGTCGGCCAGTTAGTGGCAGAAGATGTTCATGATGAGACTGACATTGAGAATCATCATGAAAACTCATGTGACATGATAGAATTCAGAATGACAGACTGATAATTCAGAATGACAAGTCATTCCTGTGATGAATGTCATCAGACTCCCCGGCTCCAGGGCTCCAGTCGTTACCTCCGTGCCCGTTGGGGTGTCCGGCCTGGGGGGGGATGGTACGACTCCCCGCCTGTTTGACCATAAGCGAAGAGGCAGCAGTGATAGCCGTTCCAGGCGTTGTCCAAGACCCGTTTGCCAAAGGTGTTGAACACATACTTCTGGTCCTGGCGATTTGGGGTGCTGTGCCGCGCCTGCCGCGCGGAGTGGAGGAAGAAATCCCGAAAACCACTGAAAGGCTCAACAATATTTCGGGTCTTGGTGGTGCAGGATTTCTTGAAAATACGGAAGCCTCCCCAGTGCTGTTGGTGTGCAAAAGGCGAGATCACACTAAGCCAAGCACCACGTAGTTGCTTCCGCGCTTGGGCCTGGAAGCAGCTTGCTGTGAATACCATGGGTTTTCAAGGCTAGGTGTTGCAACACTTCACTGTGGCGGAGGGGGCAGAGGAGACAGGAAGAATGGAAGAACAAATAAAAATATGTCCCTTACCACCAGCCACATTAACTAATGCATGATGCATCATTCTGCGTAGAGCACAGCAGTGCGCAGTGCGCATCCAAGCTTCCTGAGATATCCAGTGCCATCATCTTCATATCCGTCATGACTCCAGAAGGATTCGTCGAAGGTAAACATCGTGTCTTTCCCCGCGCCTCATCATCCATGTCGCTTCGCAGAACCGCTTCTTCCCTACTGCTCGACCACAAAGCCGTCGAGAAGAACAAAACAAATTCCCAAATGAAATACATACCAATGCATTTGTACCTATATGTTTAATGTGCATATATGCCAATGCATGCCTATATAATATATATAATGCATACTTATATATATATATATATACTAGATATAGTTATAGTTCCGTATTTCAATCACCTGCTGAGAAAGTCTGTTTCCAAATAGTTCAGCCAATCCTTCTGAAATGATCCGACGCAACAACAACAACAGCAGCAGCAACAACAACAACAACAGCAACAGTGCAGCCAAGAGGCTGTCAAAAATGGATGTGGACTTTTGACTCATGCTGATACATAGCATGGAGTTGTTCTGAATCTCCTCGGCTCCAGTCTGCTCAGATCCGACGGACCGGACCGAACGCTCAGCGGCGACTGTCGCGGCTCGTTCTGCTTCGCTAAGCGGCTCGCTCTTGGAACGGCCGAACGCGCACCCCGACCACCACTGCTTCTGCTTCCGTCATTTTTGCCTCGCAAGGCGGAGGGAGAGAAGTGGAGGGAGACCTGCCAGGCAATGACCCTGGAAGAAGAAAAATAGATCAGTCAGCCCAGTCGACTCCCAGTTGACTTTGTCCAATGTCAGTGATCCCAGAGAGCGCTGGCTTACCATTGTCAATGACAAAGTGGACCAAGTTGTGAAGAGAGTGCTAAAGCTGGACCATGCGGACTTGATGGCAAAAATGCAGCTCCTTTACAATGACTACATATTTGCGAAAGGTTTCACAGTTGGTTGACTTTCATTTGTTTTGGGTTTCCACCAACTCCCGGTTGATGGCTGTTTCCAGTTCCAGTATTCCTCAGTCTTTGACGGCACCAGATTTCGCTTCCTTTGTCCGTGTTGGAAGTGGACCATGTGTTGCTGCAGATTGGGTTCAGGATGCGAGATTACAGCCTTTTCCGTTTGGGGAAATGTTCACCAATCGGTTTCTGACTTGGTTTTCTACTATCCCTTTGTTGCCGGGGAACAACATACCAGTCTGATTGAAGTCTACGTTGCTTTCCGTTTGACCACAAGGGACGCAAGATGCCGGTCTACATCAAGACCTTGAAGGGGCGCAAGCGAAGGGGTGGCTCAAGTGACCTTTTGCGAGACCAGAGTGTAAGGGCGGATGCAGCACCAGCTGACATGTCGACCCAGGTGAGATGCTTTGTACAGTTTTTTAAGTGGCTTGCACATTGTTTCAGTACGATTGTTTTTTTGTGCTGTAGAGGTTCAGTACAGAAACTTGGCTACTGGAGCCAAACAACTTATTTTTCATCAGTCGTTGCAACTTCCCTCACAAGAGCGTGTCTCGCGGGCTCTTTGGGATTTCTTTCATAAGGATGCACAACCCACACATCATTTGAAGCATGTTTGGCGCCCTGTTTCGTTGGTGCCTTGGACTCCCAAGGAAGTGTCTAGAGTACGCTCTGCTGACACTGGCCACCACCTGCGTGGCAGGTATTCAACTGCAAAGGCCAAAATACCCATTGGGCCAGGGGTTCTCCCCCGCAAAAAAGCAGACCCATGACCCATGTATGTACTTCCATCTACTTCCTAGAGGTGCCACCCCCCGCCGGGCACAAGAAGCACACAGCAACCGCGCGTGTGCGGTACGAAGACCCCCCCGGCAGCCCGCCTTTCAAAGGAGCGCTGCTGACGGTGTCATGATGGTCATGGCAGCCGATGGGCTTTGGTTCTTCGATGGTTTCTTGTCAGGTCGGTTTTGACTGTAGTTTCTACGAGGCATATGGATTTGGCTGACCCCTTGCTGGTGCAGACCCAACCAACATCTCAAGCTACAAGAATCCAAAAAGCACCGAGATCAAGCTACAAGCTTTCTTCAAAAGCTTGAGCAGCTAGAGCCAGCGTCCATTCGTATTCCTCGTCTAACGCGTGCGGAGTCATAACAGCAGGTTGTAACAGGTCATGCGGGGTCATGCGCCGTTCTTTTCTGTATATAACGTGTGTTATAATTTGTTTATATGTGTTGAATATGCGTTCTTTTCTCATTGTATATGTCTTATCATGCGGGTGCATGTTCTGTCTTATAGTGCTTCTTATAGTGCGATATCCCGTTGTTCCACAACGACTCTTTTTCACCCTGGACGGATGTTCGGTGTGTTGCACCGGTGCAACACAGAAAAAAGTGATGTGAAGAAGATGCCATCTGTGCAAAGTGACGTGGTTGTTAAACAAAGTAATGCATACCCTGCGCACCAGCGGCCCAGGACCAGTTGTTTGGTTGCATGTCTTGCCAAACTCACATGCCGTGTTAGACCCATTGATCAGATGGATCGATCATGCACGTTGATGCATGTTGTCTTCCACCATGATGAACCATTCTAACATCAAGTTTGCCAGCATATTGGCCAAAGTGTGACTGTGAAAAGCTATCAGCCGCAATCACATGCTGCGACAGCAGAGCAAAGACTTCCTTCGTTCCACTATCTAACCGCTCCGTCCAATCCGTCCCGTGTTAATGGTTTTCTCCAACTCCGCATGCGGATAGGAAACGAAGCGGCATGAGTACTTTGCACATGCGAAAGGACACGATGCAAACGATTAAGGGCCAACAATTGCCTGCATTCTTGTCAGGGCATGCAGGATCTGCGACAAACCGCGCAGGCCTCTGCCCATCCAAGGGGCAGGGGCCGCTCCAAACGCTCGGCCGGCGTGCCGTGCGGATGGATCGGTGCTTTCGGCCTCGGTGGGCTGCCGCTGGATCCGGATCCGGCCCTCTCACCGAAGACTTCCCTGGGCTGAGCCAGAACAAGCCAGAACTACCCGGGCTGCTCGATCACGTGGCCAGGTTGCTCGATCACGTTCCAACAATTGGACGCAGAAAAATGTACCAGGGGGCCCCGTCGTGAGGGGTGTCTAAGAATAGGCCCTAATTGGTTAAGGGATGTCCATGAACCACCCCTTCCCGGAGGCCGAGGCAACCCAGGTCTGTCTGGGCCAAACTCTTCGGCGATCCTCGGGGCTGGACCGGAAGAGGAAAGCCACCCCCTGCAAGTCCAAAGACGATACCTTCCCTGAGTACAGGACATTCCCTTTCAGATCCCATAAAGACCCATTCTTGGTATAATCTTTGAAGAGGAAAGCCACCTGTTTGGTCTACCAATCGGTCATGCAAGGGGCAATGCCATCCAAGGAACCCAGATTCCAAAAGGAGCTTGCCGAACTTGCCAGCAGCTACGGTCGAAAGTACAAGAGCCCCGTTTACTTGAATTTACGAGACCCCCGATGTTCTGAATGAAGGCCCAAGCTTCGCTCTTGTTTGTTGAACTTGGCCGCCTGGTCATCGCTGAGCTCGGCACCATGGCCTTGCCCTCATCGGAGCCTCCTCGGGCCATCTGGTTTGGACGTGCAAGGTGACCGGCGTCAATGGCCATGACCGTCATCAGACAAACGCTTGGTGGCGCACGCGCCAACAAAAACAAACGGATGCACCGGCTGGACTTCCCAAAGAAGGGACCTCTGGGAGGGATTCTGATGACGGGATCCCCTCGGTCCCTAGGTGATGTAGACTGTTGACATCTGTTGATGAAGAACAGAAACCTTCCAGAATAGTTTTACATCTCCAGGGCTCAAGGGTTTACTCACCAGACAACCTTGTAAAACTGCAGATGCTCTAGATTCTGGATCTCTGGCAAGATTATGCAAGATGCAGCCTCCCAGTTCCATGGGCGGGTTGGAACACGAAGCTGTGAAACCCTCTTCCAAGCCCTCCCTGCTCAACGTTCAACAACTCTGTTTGAAAGTTGGAGCTTGACGGTGGCATTTGAGAGCTGAGAGAATGAGACGTGAGTCCCATTTGAACACTCCCAGGAATTGGTGAAACTTCCGGATGTCACGGAATTAGGAAAGATGTTGATAAGGTCGGCCAAGATGGCCAAAATACACTCCCCAAAGCAAAACAAACTCCTTGTGCAGATGGCACAATACATCACCCACTAGCCCAGCGGGCTTGACCAAAACCGAGCGTCTGCGTTGTAGATATTCGAGATGGCGCAGCAATCACTGTATATCCCCCCCCTACCCACCCCAAACCCCCTACCCACCCCAAACAATACGCCACATCTCTAAAAGATTCTACAACCTCTTCCCGTTTTTGTGACCCAAAAACGACCCGTTGTCCTTGGCGTCCAAGTAGATGGGCCATCCACAGTGGCCTGCAGCCCCTGGCCTTCACCGGATGAAAGGTCCGAGTCTTCGGTCTCGTCGACGTCCGACGGGGTGCGATCCGCTCGGAGTGCCGATGGGAAAAACACCACCCCGACATGCGACTCCTGGATGCGATCTATGTCTCAAACAAGACATATATGCCGATATCTGCTCCCAAACCACCCGCAAAAGGTAGGCAGCTCTCAGACGGGTCGTGTCTGGGATCATGACCTTCTATATAGTCCGCTATGCAAATCCAAGACTTGGGAGAACTGTTAAATGTCACGAGAAAAATGCGTTTTTATCACGGAATCAGTGTGCGTTTCAGACACCGTCGAACGATGCCGAACGACGACGGCAGAACGCAGAACGGACGTCGCGCGTTTCGGACCGGAAGTCCCTTTTGCTCTGGCCGAAGGAAAGAAGCATGAAGAATCTGACCGCCGAACACGAGTTCAGGTCACGTGTTGGACCCCCTTCCTTCGCCATACCCTGTGCATGGGTCGCGCAGGTCTTTAATCATAAGAGTTTGGTCAAGAGAGATCCTCATCTTTTTCGTGATATCCACGCACCCATACTTCATTCGCACTTCAGTGCCGCTGCCAATAAAACAAAGAATGAAAACGAAGAGTTCTCTCGGCGAAACTCCTCGCGCAATGGACGACCAAATCTCCATCTTGATGACTCTCTTTTGGAGATGCGTCGGATGTAAAAGTTTCAGATCCTCCGGAGAGCGGTCGAAAACGAGAAAACGTCTCCGTTCTCGCCGGTATGGCCGAGGGTGGGCCATTGGAAACCAATGGGTGTGGCCAGTTTTCGTCCAGATGGTCGGGTGCATGTAGAAAAGCCTAGAATACAACCAACCAGGGGCCCCACAAACCTGGCTTTCCCAGCAAAAAACATGGTTTTTTGATGTTTTTTGTGTGTGAAAACCTTTCTTTTTCATGGTTTTGAGGGCCTCCTGGAAGACACTGATCTCCCTAGTTGTGTTGGGGGGGTCCAGTCGATCAAGAAGAAAACAGTCGACCACACGGCCAGGAATTCAGACCCAAAAGACCTCAACAAAACGATGGCAACGATGGGTCAGAAAATTGATCTAAGCATTTTTCCTCATGAAGACATCACCATTGTTGGACCCCGACCCAAAAAAAGAAACACCAAAATGAACGGAAAAAAAAAACTGGTCTGAAGTCTTGAGAGCGTGACTGACCCACACGTTCGACCATCTTTTCAGAAACAAAAACGGCATCCAAAACGCCGAATGATTTGGACCTCGTTGTGCTCCTGAAAAAGGCCATACACATCACCTAACTGGAGGGTTGAAACAACTGGGGTTGAGTTTCAACTCTTGCGGGGATACGGCAGGTTCATGTTTGGTCTCGTGTGGCTGAGAATGAGAGGATCACCTGGAGTCATATATAACTTCGAGGCGACAGGGCAAGCACACCAAACAGGGCAAGCAACGGACTTGAGTCACAGCTTGCCACTTCTGTGTTCCGTTCCTGTGGCGATGAGTCTGATGACTGAGTCTGATGACGTCACCGACCGGCGCCGGGACACACTGGCGGGCAGCCGGGGCGTCCAGTCGTCCATGTTAAGCTTGCCCTAGAAGTCAAAGACCTCAGTTTACTGAAGTTGGTCATGCAAAAGCACTCTTCAAGAAGTAAAGAAAGGACCAGTTTTACTGGGTCAGACTGGACTTGTAGGGTTGGGAAAGTGGAAACAAATCCACACCGCAAAACCTGACTTCGAGAACTGCGGCTTCTCGGATCCTGGATGGGGGGGCTCACCGCGATGGATCGGTGCATGATGTTCTTGAAGGAAACCAGGGACCTTTCCGTTCAGCTCCTTCTGGAACTCATGATGCATATGATGCATGGGGTCATTCCGAAACAAACCAGTTTTATACATTTTTTGTCAGAGTTCTGGGCATGGCGACATGGGGTCATCCGGTCGGCCCAAGTGTTTTTGACCAGCTTGGCTGACGATGCATGGTATTTCATATGATTTCACAGGAACAGTCACTGTGCGAAACATGTGATGCACTGTGCCTCATCTCTGAATTTTCTGCACGTGGTCGCAGGGTCGTGAGTGGTCGTGAGTGGCCACGGCAGAAGCTGAAAGAAAAATAAACCACCCTTTTCAGTGCGATGGCCGCATGTTGTTGGTCGATGGATGGTGGGTGATTTTCAGGGCCTCGGACGAACTGAAAGGGGGCGGAGAAAAAACGGTGAAGGCACAGCCTGGCACATGGCCGCACCACACGCACCACTTGTTGGGAGATTGAAAGGCCCCGAAATCGGCCAGTGGATTTTTTACGCGGCAAGGAACTCCCCAGTGAACAACTGCCACATCCACGTGCGAGTGCCCTTCGGTCGCAAAAGCTCCTTCACATCAATGAGCCTGGTTTTTTGGAGCACTCACCCATCCACAGAAGTCCTATTCCGATCCAAAGAGTTGTCATGCATGGTGCCAGGGTCTTCATCTACAGCATCTCACAGCTGGCAGCTGGCGCGTCTCAATCGCAGCGTCTCAATCTCCCAGTCTTTTCTGTTTCTTCGGTCTTCTCGGTCTTCGGAATTCCGCTTCGAAGGCATGAAACCACACGTTGTCGCGACACAACACCTCCAGCGGTCCGTTCCGGAGTGAATGGGACGTCGCACGAAAAGCATGTGCGATAGGAGATCAACCGGTCGGCTTGGTATGTCCCCCGGGCGGCCATGACTCACCATGTGAACTACTCATCTTGTCGTCTCACGACCTACGTTCCATGCCACTCCTCCGACGACTTGGGTGACGGAAGTGCCAATTCTGAGGCATATGAGGTCTGATTGCATCTGGTAGTCAATCTCCCCTAGTCAACGCTCGGTCTGCCCCTCCGCCGACCGATTCTCCTCGGTCAGCGGCCGAACGTCGGTCCCCCCAGTTCGCCCCGCTCCTTGCGGTGGAAGGGCCGTCCGTTCGGGCCGCGTGTGGGCGGCGCGCAGTTCGGCGCGGCGCGTCCGAGGGTGCGCGGATTCGGCGCGGAGGCGCCGGGATGGAAGATGGGGTTGAGCCGTAGCTCCAGATTCGGGGTGTTCAAAGAGGGAGACCGCCAGGACCGGGTGGACTGGTCGAGGTTCCGACCCTTTTGCAAGGTCCGAACGCCTGGGAGGTCTCCCTATGTTACACCAATTTGGCTCAAGGGTCCAAGAAACCGGATACACCCGGGAAGATTAACATAGAACCCTCAAACCACTGAGGTTGTAGAGGAAACAAGTCTTCCAAAGGTCCATGCCATCAGGTTCTAGGTTTTGGATGGATTGCTTTGGAGCAAGACATGTTGCCGCCGTTGGCGCAGCGGGTGCTTACACTGTTCTGGATGAGAATGACCATGGATCGCACTGACGGACTTGCAGCCCGGGCCTATTTTGCATGTCATTCTACCCCAAATCAACCAAGAAAGGGGAAAGCATCCAGTACCCTGCAGTCCTGCGAAGCTGGACCCCAAAGAACCTCGCAAACCCATCACGACAGTCAGTATCACTCGAACTTGGACCTCAGTTCTTGACACACTTGATTCAGAAAAAAAAATGATTTTGCAAAACCTCTTCATACAAGGGAAGTTTATCATCAAGAAGTCTATGCATGATCCTGCCACCCTTGAGACCTTTGGACCCTTGAGGACACCTTCGCTGTCTCGGATGCCGCATTGCGCGCAGGGTTCCGACGGCCACGGCCGACGCTAAAATTTTTTGGCTCAAAAAGGATGACGGCCGCAGCGCGTCCCTGCGGCTGGAAGAGGCCTGGCCCCAGAGCCAACATCGACCGAATGGCAAAACGTGCTCCACACTCCTGAAAACGGACCCGATGGACCTGGGAAGATGTTGGCCTGGCCTTGTGGACAGCTTTAATACCAAACCCGTCCATGTTTGGGGTCCATGGTCGTCCGAAAAGCTGGGCGCCTAGAAATAGCTTTCTCCGTACACAATACCAAAAATGATAGCCTGACATCAACCTCTAGATCGCCAGAACAACTCGTTGCTCCTCTGCGAGCAGGAATGTTGGAAGTTGCGCCGCCTGAGTATCAGTGGCCTGGGGCACTAGGGTGATGGGTCGGCATCCCGGGTCAGCTTCATCAGAGTTTGGGCCGGCATCCCTGTTGGAATTCAGTGGTGATCTCATGACTTGCAATTTTATAATATAGGATACAAAACTGGGTGCACAGCATCCATCATCTCTGGGGGGGCCTCTATAAAATTACAAGCCATCAGATCAATTGGACGAAACAAGCTCTGTCAATCCAGCAGCTTGGAATCTGCATCATGATTGAGGAACTCCTCACCTTGGAGAATCGAGTCTCCAAGTCATCGTCATCGTCGAACAAAATGTAATGGCCTGTATAAAAATTGGGGTACTTGATCTGTGGGACACTCCTACTATTTGACTATTTGCGATTACACTTGACTATTACACCTGGAACTTGGAACTTGCTCGTGCCTGACAGGTGCAAGAAAAGATCTCGCCCAACCGGGTCTTTGATTTATTTGGTATAATGTTGATACCTAGCGTCGCATTTCATAAGCCTTTGCATAAGGGGTAATGATGCAACATCATGTACTGTACACTTAGGATATATATATATATATTATCCGATCTTTGTGTGGAAAATGCTACAGGGATGGGCTTGCCCAGTTCAAACATCAGTGGTGGCGCTTGGCGCCCGAAAAATGGGTCTTGGCCCTTGGCCATGAGCCCTGCGAGAGACACGCACGTCGAAAGAAATCATGAGCAAGAAATACATCATCGCATGGGACCTCTCCCTCTGTGTACCTACATTTGATCCCCTGACTAGTAGATACAGTACATCATGACGAAAAACGAACTCTCCCCAGAAAGAATATAGGATCCCCAAAAAACAAGATGTTTCGATCATGTCCATGCTCGTTCTCTACTTTGTACTTCTTTAAATCCCCCGCCAAAAACGAGAACGGGTCGTATAGCAAGAAAGCTTTACACGGCAGGTTCGGTGCCCATGAGTAGTCCAAACGGTGGATCTCTTTGTGAACTGCGCGTCGAGCAGCTCGGCAACTCGTATGTCTTGCATTGGTTGGCACAGTTAGGGGAGGCCCTACTCTGCCTCTCTCGCAGAATCAAAGACACAGAGACGGCTTGAAATCTCGAAACTGCTCCGCGAAGATCGGTCAGGCCAGACTTCCAGAACAAGGACTGGCCAATCCGGCCATCCCCCTGTTCCAACTTCTTGGCATTGTTGATGAGCTCAACGTTTGGTTCAACACACTTTCTACTTCGCACTTCAACACCTTGAAGTTGATTGAAGGCTGCCTGGCAAAACCTCCGGGCCTCCAATGTATCAGCCTGTGCTCTGTGCACTTGAGATCTGTGTGTGGGGGGGGCCTTGCAAGACTCCAAGTTCGACGGTCTTGTAGTCCAGTCCCGATTGGGTCCAAAGAGATCCAAGAACACCAACTTTCTCCAGAGGCAAACTATCAGTCAATAGAAGAAATTAGTTGGAGGATGGATCTATCCTCTAACCAGAGCCCAGTGGATGATGATGGTTCCGTTGCAGGCCTTTCTCTGTGATCATTCTTTGCCGACTGTTAGAGGCAATAGGAGAAACCCCATATAAGGAGGAAAACAAAAAGCCCAGTCGATGCATCCCATTTTGCTTCAATGTATTTGTCGACACTTTACAAGAATATGGCCAATACTTGTGTAACAACTCTCCTAACAATGAGCACAGGACGCGCTAGTGGACTCTGAGCTGCTTGCAATCTCTTGCGTGTGGTCAGGCCTTTCCCCTGCCCTGCTTGGAGAACCTAACCCGCCCTGTGGTTCGGCTCGAGGTCTAGGTTAGGGCTCGAACCGGGCTGGCTGGTTGCATTGCAGTAGTTGCATTCTGGCTACTTGCATTTCGCAACTCAGGGCTGGTCTGTGTTCCTCCCTCAACTTCTACAAGTATCATCAGGATCCGGCAGAAAACACATATATACAAAACACAGGGCGCCTGCACCTATGATTCCCCCCGACTGGATCCAGTTGCCACATGTTACCACTAGGATAATGTAGACTGATGATATAGAAGAATTGGATTGTACCATTGTAATCCATTGTAACACCTCTTCACATGAGGGGCTTCATTCATCAACAGTCTACATTTGCAGGCCACTCTGGCCGTCCAGCGTCTTTCGAGACTCGTCCCAACTTCGACACGAACAGGCCCAGTAAGGCTCCCCACATCACTCAAACTGGACCGTGGATGGAACGTCCTGCAGCATGGTGCGCGACGGCGGTCAGCTCCGTTTTGAATGCGTCACAGACGTTGCGGCTTTGCTTCACCAGGTCCAGCAAGCGCCCCAAAGTGAGCCTCACATGCTTGCGCGTCTTGCGCCGCGAAGCCGCTGGTTGTTGGCTTTCGCGGGCCAAAGCGGGTTTTCATGTGGAACAAACCTCGGATGAACTATTCGCGATCCTTTCACCTAACTACGAAGGTCCAACACCCAACTACCTGGCCGGAACTTGGGGCCTCCGGTTGGGACCCCGGTCCAGGTCGCCTCCGGGTGCTCCAAGCACGGTGCTCCAATGAAGTAGAACGTTGGGTCGGAACGTTGGGGAAGCACGTCGACCGTTCGATGTTAGGTACCTGTTGAGGATTGTGGCGTGGGTCATGTAGTGGGATGCTCTCAAGAGCCAACAGGCCTCGTTCTTAGTGGCCTTGGTGCACTCCAATGGGTTTGAGGATTGAAAGCAACCCTCCGCAAATGAGCACTTGCCTGGGAAAGCACCGAGTCGAGGGAAAGCAAGGGAGAAAATTGGACACGCCCCAAAGATTTAATACTCCCTAAGTTACTAAGAATCTGGACCCTCAATGGAGGATCCAGACCCTGCGAAGATGTCGGGTCCAATGATTCTTAGGGCTGTTGACATCTGTTGACCACATATTGTCCAGTGCCCAATCCATTGATCTAAACCCAGTACTTCTATGTACTTCTTGCATCTGTGGCTCCACAAATCATATAGATATTAGGCCAATATGTGCATACCTTGGGAGTCTCCCTGTTCGGCTTTTTCAACGCCCCAACCGGCTCCACGCTCCCCCACCGGCTCCACTCCCGCGCGGGACGGATCTGCGACGATTCCTACGGAACGACACCGGGCGAAAGAACGTATAGAACCGCTCCCAACCAACGAGGAGAAGAACCACGAACTGGAAGAATCACCTGTCAAAACAAGTCAGCATGGCTACCAGTTAGCAAAAAGAAAAAGAAAACGGCCTCCCGTTGCCTGAAAAGCCTGCCTTTGGCCTGGGAAACCTCTAGCAAAAGAACAGCCGCTAGGCAGCTAGAGCTGCTAGCTGGGCCTTTCGAACCCTTCGTCTTAGCTGGGCCGCTTCTTCAAGCTTTTGGACAAGATGGCTGACATCTCCTCAGCCGCAGATGGCAGGTGATCATCACGCTTCTTTCTGACATGACACACGGAACGACACATGTTGCTTTGGTGTTCTGTTCCGTTTGGCATGTGTCAAAGTGGGACAACCTCGCAAATCATGAACATCTGCTAGTAGATCCCAGTCTTGGGTATCCCAAACACTCCATGTGTGGAAGACCGAAATGGACTCTTTGTCCACCTGATGCAAAAACCACTGGTAGGTAAATGGTCCCAAATGGTGCCGCCGCTCAAACTTTGTGGTGGAAAGGGCGCCGATCTGGACACCTGGAGGCTTCCTGAACCACAAAACCATGAAACCAGCGATGCCCTTGCTCCTAGTAGCTTCTTGTTACTAGTAGTAATGCCAGGAGTTCCTAGTAGCGTCCTTGCTCCTAGTAGCGATGCCAGGCGCCCCGAACGTAGCTTCTTGTTACTAGTGGTAAACCACGAAACCATGAAACCAGCGAAGTGTCCTGGCTTAGCCTTGTCACACTAGCTCAGCTTATTGGCTCTCATCCACGTATGAAGAATTCTGATTAAATCCTTGAAGGACACATCCGGTATAGAAGAAACCGTACATATTGCGTAAAGACCAAAAAGGACAATAGATAAACATAATAGGCTTCGGCCAAAAGCGTTCCAGCCCAGCGGCAGCTGTCACGCGCTCGTGCTTCGGAAGGGCCTTCAAACGCCGGCGCATGCAGGACAAGACCAGGATCATCCGTTCGGTGAGATTTTGCTTCCGGCATCGCATTTCCATGTGGCTCAGCAGCATTGACAGGATCTGCAGCGATGGAGGGCGGAGCTATGGAGGGGCAGTCGGAGCTATGCAGTTGAACATCTTTGAACATAACATACAACACTAAAGGAAGGAGCACACAAGATAGAGATAGAGAGAGAGTAAGTAAGTAAGTAAGTAAGTAAGTAAGTAAGTAAGTCAGTCAGTCAGTCAGTCAGTCAGTCAGTGAGTGAGTGAGTGAGTGAGTGAGTGAGTGACTGAGTGACTGAGTGACTGAGTCACTGAGTGACTGAGTGAGTGAGTGAGTGAGTAAGTGAGTGAGTAAGTGAGTAAGTGAGTAAGTGAGTAAGTGAGTAAGTAAGTGAGCAAGTAAGTAAGTAAGCAAGCAAGTAAGTAAGTACGCAAGGTACAGTACAGTACAGTACAGTAAGCAAGTAGAATCACAGAATATTACACATGTTTACCATATCTTATCTTCTCCAAGGTGACGCATGTCTGGGAATCAGAATGGCCGCAGGTCGTCAGCCTTCTGCAGCAGTCTTTAAAAAAACATATATGTATAGATATAGACATCCATTCCTCACCTAAACAACACCCCATTGACATGATAAAGGAATGCAAAGGGTTGACAAATCTTACTTCTTATGTGCTTGGTCTCTCCTCATCTTGCACCCAACTCTCTCACGTTCATTCGAGGCGATCAACCCACGCCAAACGAATTCCGTGGATTGCACGGCTAAGAGGACAACGAAGGAAGGTAACTCTATCAAAACATCACTGTGATCATGCTGCGTGTGGGGACCTCCACACTTGCATGAAGCTGACACATGCTTTATACCCATCTTTATATAAGGTACAACGAACAGCTTGTGCCCCCCCAGAACCGAAGTCAGTGATGGCCGGAAAATTGCCAAAAAGGGTACGATCCATATATAAGTCACTAGCCACTAGCGCAGTCGTTTGTGGCTCGTCGGCAGTTTGAGTGGCTTCGTCCAGTTTTTGTGGCTCAGATTCGCATCGTCCATACTCAGACTCGGATTGGTCCAACTGAGCAGCTTGGATTATGCTTTTTTGGGTTCAAATCCGGTCCTAACCCATCCATTCAAGTGTCCCAAGGTGAGCAACCACTTTTCAGATGAGTTCCTAGCAGGCCTGCTATGACTCAAACATGGGGACATAGAAACTTGTTGAAGTTCGCATTGACCCACAAAAAGGATACTTTCCGGATCGTCAGCATGAACTGTGGCGGTGGATCCCCAAAGGAATGAACTGCGCAGAAATGCACAGAACCAATCTGAAGAAGGCAAGTGTCAAGCTGCATTGGTGCATGTTGGTGCATGTTGGTGCGTTGATGTGCATTAGAGTGTATTGTACCTCCTTTCTTTCTGCATGAAAGAGGAGAAAAGAAGAAGCTCATGTCAAGTTTTACGCACTGAAATTGGTTACGAACACATCTCTCAACTAAACGCCATGAGAAAAAGAAAAGCACCGCCGTCCGCGTCGGACGGCGGTGTGGTTGAGATGGCGCCTCCTGCGGTGTCGGACTACGCCACGCGCCACGCCGCGCCTGTGGCTCGGACATGGACTCAAAGCAAAGCCGCTGCATTTTGTCCAGCTTCTTCTTGGAGGTCTCCTTGGAGGTCTCCGTTACAACGTTACACGTGACGCGAGCGCGTGAACTTGGGATGCGTCCCCAAACGCATTTCGGGGGGACGAGGTCATGAACGGTCGCTGTCCAACAGACCGCAAGAGCAAAGAGCGAACGGACGTTGGTCCACCAATTTCCCCCATATTTCACTCCAAGTAGACTGGTTCGTATGATCGCCTTCCTGCGTCCGCGTGATTCCGAGGTTATGACGCACCATGAAGATGCTCCGTGCTCCAAGTCGCGTGCTCCAAGTGGCAGAACTGACAGTCCATGCCCTGCCGGACGGTGGCGTCGTGGCGTCGTTGGGACCTCACCTTCTCACACGGAGATGCAGCTTATACATATTATATATACTATATAGTATAAGTTATACACAACATAGCTCACAAATGATTAGATCAATGCTAATGCCAACGCCAGATTAATCAGCCCTCCCTTTAAGGTCAACAAGATCAGCAAGGTTTGAGATTGGAGGTATTGGAGATAGATGATGGTTGATGGGATTCTGTGTGAACAGGGATTCAATGTTTACTTTCTGGGGGCAGCTGGGCTTGATTAACAGGGGGTGGTTTCTGCCATTGTTTAATATTCATTGGGGGCTCAAGCTGCTTGAATGGGGGGAGGTTACTAGATCCTGTGTGCGCATTTTTGTGCAGGTGTACAATTTTGTCATCATTTGGTCTAACTTTATAATATATATATATATATGTATACATATATACCTAGCACTTCCAACGGTGGCTCGGCCTTCTTGCAGCTCCCGTAGTAGAAACCTCAGCTTGCTGGCGCGCGCCAAGCGCAATGATGTATTCGTTCGCCAGGGGGAGTTGGCATGTCAAAGGGTTGAGCAAACGTGCCAGGACTCGGTGGTAGAGGAAAAGTGTCTTTCCAGTCTGGTTCATGCCAAGCCAGGTTCCATGTGGGTCTTTTCCCGGGTGTGTCCTTTTAAAGCTTTGGCTTTGGGGGGCAGTAACAAGGACACCACTAGGTTCACTCTCACATGGTTCTCTTGGATCATCCAAACATCAAAACGACCCCCGATTCTTACCGACCTGTCTAGGGGCGACCCGTCCAACCGCACCAGCTGAATCCGGCTGGTCCGGGGGAACCTGGAACCTCCTATACCTCCATCCTTCCGCCGTCCGCCTGGTAGGTGGTCCCCGTGTTCGGTCCCAGGCGCGGATGCAGGGATTGCCGCAAATCTCCGGATGCCCAAGGCTCCCCAGCGTCTCCGTCTGCGTCACAGGCCAAGAGAAGGATTCGGCCACGCGGGCCAACAAGGAGGTGGCCTTGGACGCCGGAAGCGCGGGATCGCGCGTGGATCGAGGCTGAAGCGGACCTGGATCAGCGAATGTGGCGAAACCCTGGAGATTCATGAAGTACTTAAGTAGTTTGGCCAGGATACCCTGACTGGATGGTTCTGGTTTGTTAGGACACATCGGTTGGTTGGACGCTTAAGAGCTGGGAGCCCCAACCATCAGAACGACAGAGCGTCTGTGTCTCTGAAGGATCGAAAAACCAGGATGAACCAACTAATGACAGCTGGATGGACGGTGACAAACACTGACTGGTGCTTAGCAGGGAATGAGGGATTCCCTTATTCCCTACTAAGCACCAGTCAGAACAGAATCAAATAATATGGGTATTGGATGCCAAACCCGTGGTCTGACGGAGCTTGTTCCAAGACCAATCAGACCGTGGATGGAAGGATGTTGTTCGTTCGACTGATGAGTATGGGTGATGGTGTAGAATTGGCCTCCAACTTTTTGTGTTTTCAGTTGGTCTTCTTCACGGAGCCTCCAACTAGGGTTGTCCGCAAAACACACATCGATACAAGGGTAGCCCAGTGTAGCCCAGTCGTTCTCTCCACGAGGGGCCTGATCTTGGGCGGGTGCTTCAATCAGAAGATGATCGAGAATGAACTCTGAGAAGGGGGAACTCCCGCACGGCCCAGTTTGGGTGGGTGGTCGGTGGCGAGTCGGTGGCGACATAAATCGACCCATTCCCACCTGTGCTACGGATCGAGTGCGGCGCATTTGATGGTTGATGGTCATCTACTTATAGACCTAACCACGTGTTCAACGTCCAGTAGCCTGGCAGGTTGGGGGTGCCAAACAACTTGGCATCAGAGCTGGCGAAAACTGGGCCACACATCGAAGAAGAGTCAGAGTCTTGTTGCTTTCCCGTCTCAGGTCTCCTAGCTTCCTAAAGTTTACGAAATGCACGCCCGTGATGGGTGAGTGGATGGCTTTTGCTCCCACATGATGCCATGATGTTCGCTAGCGGCCCACTGGAACTCATAGTCCCTCAAAAGGGGTGAAAGTCTGCCTAAAGAACAACCCCACGATCAGATCGATGTGTTCGCGGCCAACAACAGCGGAGAACTAAAACGATACAAGAGCATCTAACAGAATCAAACACGGACCTACCTGCATTTCTCTGAAAAAGTGCTTTGCACAAAGCCTCGAAAAGGCCACTGCAAAAAACTACCCCCTGTCTTTCGCAAATCGTCGCTTTACGACGGCTTTACGACACGGCGATGGATTACTCAAAGCATTTCAATAGACCTCCCAGGCAACGACCCCTCAAGAAGGGAAACGGTAAAGTCTGACGAGAGAAGGGAAACCTATACCCAAATCCGGGGTAGACTTAGGAAGGAGACGTGACGAGGAGACCAACGAGAACCAAACACCAAACACGGGCGTCTCCCCTTGGTCCGGACATGAGACCAGTGCCTGGACCAACAAGGAGGTAGCCGATAGCGTAGTGACTGGGGCGTCCAGTCCCAAACACCGACTGAATGTATTATATCCCTACAAGTCAGTTTGACCTCATGAAATACTGGAGATGGTCATACAAGACCAATACTTAAGGAACTTAAGGCAGTCAAAAAGACCAGGTTTTACTGGGTCAGACTGGACTTGTAGGGTAATATATATATATATATATTTATTGGGATAATTTGGGATATATGCCTACATTGACCCTGGCACCACTCCAACTGATCGGCAGTCCGGACTGGCAGTCTTAGACAGGTCGTGTCAGTCGGACTCGTCCGAGGCACATAGTCCACCTTCTCGAGATCCTCGTGGCTCCGCTGCGTGGTGCGCGGTGGAACGCTGCGACTACGACCTGGCGTGACCTGCCGGGGAGTCGGTCGCTGGAAGTGGAGGATGAGGCGGTTTTTCGGTTCCAGGCCGTTCCGTTCCTTCTTAAAAAGAGAGTGAAAGAAGGTGCACCGACTGCTAGATGGATGGGCGGTAAGTCAGTGCGTGCCGAATGGGCGGTAAGGCTTCGGGTCGTAGAGGTCCCTTTTTGGGAACGAAAACCCGTCCAAAGAGCTGGAAAGAACATGAATTCATGTCTAGGCTCCTGATGACTCGGTGGTTAGTGCCAATATTAATCATATGTCTTTTACATTGTGTCTTTATGATCTGAATCTCAAACCACCGGAACCAAAGGCTTGAGAACCAGGAAGAGCTGTTTCGCCTTTTCTGATCAGCAGGAAGGGAAATTAGAGAGAAACAAGTAGGACATTGTGAATAAAGTATTACCAACATACTACATCGATATAGTGGTCCCACAATAGATAGTGGCACAGTGTCCAATACACTTTGAGTGGGGATCTACTTTTCTATCTATTTGGGGGGGCTATTTAACATGTCAGCCCATTCTATTCCTCACTTGCCAAGGCTCAAGCCTTGCCCAAAAGAGTGTAGGATCCACCCTCTAGTTCTCCATCCACGAACCCCCTCGCCTCCCGTTCGACCATTAAAAAATGGTTGACCTACGTTGTGCAGTGCAAAATCCTTGGTAAAACAATGGTTGCTCGGTAAAGACCATTAAACCAATGGTCCAATGGTGATTACGAAACCCCAGTAGCCACCCCCCCGGCACATGTCGGCACCTGAGCGAAGTTCAGGTCCAGAAAGGTCTTCTGGTAGCTCATGGTCTCCATTCTTAAAAGTTCGGTTCAGGCGCGTTCCAAAGTTGGTGGAACGAGCCTTCTAGGCATGAAGCATAAAGGCTGCAGACAGGTCAGGTACTTGGATGCAATCGGTAGAAGTGACTGGTACAGTCAAGGCCATGTTCAAGTGAAATCCGGCAAAGCTCAGGTTGCACCCACCCAAGAGTACTGGTACCAAGCACTTGGGTTTCCAGGTTCCGGTGGGGGTCCGCACATCGTCCTCCTGTATTGTCTTTGGGCCTCTTCAGACACCCGAACTGTTTCAGGGCTCAGGATGCAGCAGTTCAACCCTTGTCCAGTTCTGAGAACCTTCACACTCCAAGCCAGCTGTACCCCGAGAGACACGAGACATGGAGACATGGGTGGCGAACATGCCCATCCTTGTGGAAGGATGCTTTTTTGAACTTGGGCAAGGTGGGAGGAACATCAACTCCCGAGGTCAACGCTTAGAACCGGAACGGCAGGTTCGTTTCGGTACCCTAGACCATCCATGTATGGCATATTTACGTACATGAAGGTAATAAAAAGGGTGTAAATATACAGTATAATAACTATTAATGACTATTCCCTACATGGATGGTCTGGGGTACATAATTATGGATATATACACAAGCCTCATGAGTGGGTGGTGACCTGGCGTGACGAGAAGCTAAACTCCATGTTTTGTGGCTCGTGGCACCTTGCCCATTTTGGTGGACAACCCCCCCTTCACCCCGTCGACCAAGGGGCTGCATACGGAGGCCCAGGGAGAATTCGACACATGGCTTCAGTGCACCTCCCGAAACTAGATGAAACTAGGGTAATCTCATGTAATATATCTTCAGGTCCCCCCCCGGTTGTCTGGGGCTTTTGACTCACATCGAAACAGACGAACACCTTAAGAACACCTTCGCTTTCAGAACCCTTCCGTGTCGGTCCGTTGCCCTCGCCTCCTTCACCTTCGGCTTTCAGCTTCGCCATCACAGCATCGTATGCAATGCCACCCGGGACCGAGGCCCCTGTGGCTTTAAAGGCCTTTCGCATGCTCAGGAAGCAGGTAGAACTCTCATAGTAGGTAAACACCAGCGCCGGGAGGCTGTCCCCGCCACCTCCTCGTATCGCATCGAAATTCCCGTCGTTCAGATCATCCTTTTGAGTGGGACCCCCAAATAGACAGACACGTAGATCCCCACTGAAAATCTTTAAACCGTGCCACGGTCATCTATTAGGGGATCACCACCACGAATGACACACATCGGAAGTGGAAGCCATGGGCACCATTGGTGCCACCGAGTGGAAGAAAGAAAGACCCATTGAACGGCCATGATTGAAACGAAACCGATGGTTTAAATGGTTTAAAGGCTTAGAACCAGTTCAGAAAACCCATTGAACGTGGCAGGTTCTAAGCCGCAAAATGCAGTGAAAAGCCAGGTCCGCCGACGAGCACAAAACATGCAGCAAAGACACACCCATTGACCACATGCCAGCTGACCCGCGTGATTGTTTGCTCAAACGGTTCCGGCCACAGTACACTCTACTTCTTTTTCAGATGGTGCCGGATCTTGTGCTTCAACAGCCATGGCGTTCACTTCTGTGTCAATTTTGCTGTTACTGTTCATGCCTGTTGATATAATATATATGTATGTGTGTGTGTGTGAATCAAGTCACTCCGCGAACCTCTGCTGCCCTGCCCACAACTCAAGTGAATGTTTGAACATCCACATGAACAGCTAATGTCTGTAGGGTCTACCTTGTGCTACGGTGTGACAGAACACGCGCTGCCGATGTGTCCGTAGTCAGGATGTCTCCGCATGTGTTGCTGAACAATGGCGTCGGTCTGTCACTTAGCTGAGCGCAAGTTGTGACAATGAAGCCCAAGGCGTGAGATGAAAGTTCAACACATTCAACTTGATTTGCGGCTCCCAGGAACCTGGAAAAATACTCACCAGGTTTGGGGATTAAACAAACCATAGGGAATGTATAAAATCCCCTTATACAAGCAAAACCAGGTCAAGGGCTCATTGTGGCAGTTCATAAGTCGCATCTATTATTGTCAACTGTTCCGCTGCAAGTTATGGGAAGCTGTTTGTGAGGTCATCTGAACTTGTCAGAAGCATGAACCGCATTTTGGTGCCTCTCCGTCTCCAGCAAGAATTCGAGGCCCTGCATCTACAGGTGCTGCGAAGTCCTCAACTTGCATCCGAGGATTGAAGTGTGAATTGTCGTTGAGCTCAGCTCAGCTCAAACAGTCAAGTGTAGCAACAATTATCTTGATGCACGTTCACCGATTGGAGAAGGGAGCATCGAAACGGCTGGGCGTCTGGAATACCCTGCGACCAAAGTTCCTCCCTTCTCCTTCAATGTTCTCATGAAGCTAGACTCGCCAAGAGCAGGCTATCTTGTTCTGTCCCATCCATAGTGGCTCCCAATTCTTTCAACTTCTCGGCTGCAACCTTGTTTTGATGCTTGATGGCTCTGTACAAGGGAGAACGGCCCTTTGCGTCCTTCTTATTCAAGAGCTCAGGCTGGCACTGGACCAAAACCTCGATGGTTTTGGGGGTGCTGAAGCGCGCAGCAAGATGCAAAGAGTTCCAGCCATAGAAATCCGATTGAGCTGGATCAGCACTGTTGTCCAGAAGCTTCTTCACAATCTTGTGGGGATCGATCTCATTTGCTCTCTTGAATTTTCCATCTGGCCGTGCAGCCTCTCGGATTAGCGTAAAGAGCGCACTCTTGCCCGCAGCATCTGTGTGACGGAGACACTCCTGGAGATAGCCTGGTTCAAACTCTTTAAGGCTCTTTTCCAGCTGTTCCCAGTCCTTCTTCTTGGCAAGACTGACTAAAGGACGAAATGCATCGAACAGGTCCTTGACAAACACCACCTCAAAGTCAATACCCAAGGCCAAGCAAAGGAACACCTCCGACGTCTGCGCATAGCCGATTGCCCCTTTGTGCAGGCCTTCCTTGCCTGTTTCATCCTTTTGTTTGGCCCCAGTGATGACAATGGGCTTAGCACCTCCAACAACACCGACAAGAAGCTCCCGCAACCAGTTGGCCAGCCACACATTGCCATAATGCTGCTCCCAAGTAATGGCAAAGTGAAAGTCATGCATCAACGACATGAACAGGACATCATTGTAAAGGGCTTGATCTGCACCGGGTATCGATGCTATGAGGATTGCTTTGTCCATGTTGCCTGCTCGGAAACCATTCGTTGCCAAAGACTGCCAAGCAAAGCCTCCCACGCCGGGCTCGCCCATATCGATTTCCTGCCGTTGGATCTTTCCAAGCAGTTCCTGTGCTGCTTCTCTCTTCACAGGCTTAATTGTCTTGACAAGTGCGCAAACTGCAGGGAGTAGAAGTAGATCTGATGCGTACTTGATGGGACTTCTTCCAAGATAAGGGCTCCTGGGCCTCTGGTCCATGCTTTGAGCTGTGAATATCAATTTCAAATTGTCAGGCCTAGGAGTCTCAATCTTGGCTTCCTTCAATTCTTGGCCACCATGGTCTCTTGTGATTGGTTTCAGGTTGGTGTCATCAAAAACAGGCCACTTCTTCTTGAGCTCATCAGCCCATTCCTTCGGTTTTCCAATCAACATTTTCTCCGGCGGATTCAAGCGATGTTTATTCTCTGCGATACAAAGGCGCCGAGCGATGGAAGGCGCTGCCAAGAAGCTTTCATCGCCTCCCTGACGTTGCAAACGAAAGGACCCCGTAGGGTGCACTTGAGTCACTTCAGCTACTTCACCTGCAGGAAGTGTCCACTGAGGAGTTCTGCCTTTGTTGAAGACCCCCTGCTGCTGCTTTTGCATGTCAGTGGCATGTAACTTGAGCTCTTTGTCATCATGGGTCTTGACCAACATGCCTTCTTCGAGGCATTTTAACTTGTCTTGATCTTCTTGGACCATATTCTCCTTCTCCTTCCAGGAGCTCCGTTTCACCTTCTCATCGTACTCAAGCTCCTCAGCAATGTCTTTCCATAGCTCTTTGCCCGATTTTCCGTCCTTCCAGCACTGCAAGATTTTGCCAGCTATGGTGCCTTCCAGAGCCTCCGGTTCTTCTTGGCTCCACTTTGTTTCCAAAATGGAGCGGCACAGCTGTTGCAACTTGGCCTGGTTTGAACCGTCCTCGCACAGGTCATAGCTCCAATCGCCGGAGTCTATGCCGTACTCCACTAAAGCCTTCACAAATTCAGCCACCCTATCAAACGCCCCAGCCATGGGAAAGAACTCAGCACTTTAACAGAATGAAACCACGCCGGTCGGTCTCTTCAGCGATTAAAGCAAAGCTACAGCTGAACACATGGCTCCCAGCCTCCATGATGAGATGCTTCTCCTTCACCTCTAGCTCAGGCCCCAGAAGGAAAAGCGCCAGATCCAAGTACTTCACGTCCCCGTGGCCTCAGGAGCGAATGCTTGCTAAATGACTCAAGGACCAGTATCGGAAATTACATGTGACATAGACTATAGAGGCCCAAAGCCAATGAAGATCTTCCAAGTGACGACTCTTCTGGTGGGCTGTTTACAAAATATATTCATTGTGTCCATCTTGTTCTACTGCCACAGTGCCCGCAGGTCCCACTTTGCCAGGCCAAGCAGCTGTCGCAGTGCACATTTTTGAGCATGTCCTTCCGATTGGCATTCGTGGCATGTCACACTGTCACATGTTGCATATGGGTGTGGCTCCATAGATCCTGGACCCAAACAGGAAACAGTCATCGAATACGAGAGGATTGGGTCAAGTCAGAATGTTTTCGCCAACTGGCTGGTAATTAGGACTATGGATTGGAAGTATGCTGAATTCTATCTACTGATCATGGTGGCAAAATGGTTCGAACAACTGGAAGTTCTCCTCCAACTGATCCTCTGAGAAGCTTTGGTCTCGGCCATCGAGTGAATCAGTCACAAGCTAAGACATGCAGAATTGAGGTAAAGAAAGGTGTGAAGATACAGAGGTTAGAATAAAAAGCTAAAAGCCAATTGAAACAGAAGGCTGAGGTAGAACAATAAGCCCATTGAAGCAGGCTGGGGCAACATCATTTGCATTCATTCACCCCGCTGAGCCCTGCTAAGGCTCGAACCCC